GGAAATAAAAAAAGTTAAACTCTCTAACTGTAGATAACAGAATGCTTTTGTAGAGCATCTTAAAGAGTCTGCTAAATAACTACTGGAACTTACAAGAGAATTTAGCAAGTTCTTCGGATACAAGGTCAAAATGCAAAATTATTGTATTTATATATATACCAAGTGTAGTCAGATAGAAGATAAAATTCAAATTCCTATTTATGTAGCATCAAAAAACAAAATACTTAGGAACAAAATTTCCAGGACACCTGGTGGCTTAGGTGGTTAAGCATCTAACTTTTGATTTCTGCTCAGGTCATGATATCATGGTTCATGAGATTGAGCCCTGCATTGGGCTCTGTGCTGACAGTGTGGGACCTGCTTCAGTTCCTCTCTCCTCTCTCTGCCCCTTCCCTGCCCACACTCATATTCTCTCTCAAAATAAATAAATAAACTTAAAAAAAAAGAAACAAGAAACCAAGCAATATCTCTATACTTAAAACTACAAAATATTACTGAGAGAAATTAAAGAAGACTTAAATCAATGAAGACTATTGTTCATGGATTAGAAGATGCAGTATTGTTAAGACGGCAATTCTCCCCAGAATGATCTACAGATTCATAGCAATCCTAATCGTAATTCCAACATGAGGCTTTTAAAAATAGAGTTTGGCAATTTTATTCTAAAATTTATATGGAAATGAAAAGGACCTAAAAATACATTTAAAGTGGTGCTTTCTAATAGAACTTTTTGCACTGATGAAAGTCTTCTATACCTGCATTGTTCAGTATGGTAGCTAGCCGCCGTATGTGACTATTGAGCACTTGCAAAGTAGCTATTGTGACAGAGGCTCTGATCATTTAATCAATTTAATTTAATTTTAATTTTAATAATCAAATGTAGCTAATGGCTGTTGTATTGAATAATGCAGAAGGAAATGCTGAAAAAGCTGGGGACTTACACTACATGGCTTTGAAATTTAGTATAAAAGCTACAATAATTAAGACACTGTGCTACTGGCATAAAAGAGGCAAACAGATCAATGGAACAGAATAGAAGGCCTAGAAATCAATCCACACGTATAAGGTCTTTTGATTTTTGACAAAGGTGCTAAAGCAATCCAAATGGAAAAGGAAATCTTTTTAACTAATGAGACTGCAAAAACTGGATATCCGTATGAAATAAAATGAAGCCCAACTCCATCTCATACTATACCCACACAAAATTAATTCAAAATGGATCATAGACCTAAATATAAATGAAAAAACTCTAAAGCTTCTGAAAATAAACACCGAAGAGTATCTTTACAAGTTGGGTACAGGTAAAGATTTTTTAGGTCATAAAAAGTAATCAGAAGGAATAGATTGATAAATTAGACTTAATTAAATTTTAAATTTCTCATGCAAAGAAAAAACTAAGAAAATGCAAAAGCAAGCCACAGACCTCAAGAAATATTTGCATATTTCTGACAAAGGACTCATTTCCAGCATATATAGAGATCTCTTACAACTCAATAATTTAAAAAAAGACAACCCAATTTAGAAGTGGTCAATGATATGAATAGATTTTTCACAAAGAAGATATACAAATGGCCAATAAACAACATGTCATTAGTCTTCAGGAAATACAAATTAAACAAAAATGACATACTACCACATATCCATCAGCATGTGTAAAATTCAAAAGATTGAAAACGCCTAATGTTGTCTGGGATGTGGAGCAACTAGAACTCTCATACTTTATTGGAAGTATAAAATTATACATCCATTTTGGAAAAATCAGGCAATTTCTTGTATAGCTGAATTTATATATATATTTATATATTTATATATAGCTGAATTTATACCTACCATATGACCCAGTAATTCCATTCTTAGGTATTTACCCCAAATAGGTGAAAGCATATGTCCACAGAAAGATGTATATATTTATGGAAAGTATCCATCAACAGAAAAAAACTGTCATATAAGCAACCTCATATAATTACAAGTGGAATTAGTGTGATTAACTGTCCTGGTTTCTCTGGGGCTGAGAAGTTTTCTGGGATGTGGGACTTTCAGTACTAAAACTAGAAAACTCTTGAGCCAACCAGGAGGAGTTAGTCATTCTAATTATCCACCTCAGCAATACAAAGACCAAATTACTAAAGCATCCAACAACATGGATGAAGCACAAAACATTATGCTGAGTGAATGAAACCTACAAAAGAGTTCATACTCTATGGTCCTGTTTATATGAAGTTCAGAACTAAGGTGTGGTAAAAACAGAAGCAGGAGAGTGTATACATCTGTAGATTTAGCTGATAGGGAAGGGGTGTGAGGGAACTTTCTGGAGTGATGGTAATGCTCTCTATTTTGGTAGAAATGTGAGCGACACTGGTGTACACTTGTCAACATTTAGTGAATGGTAATTTGAAGTTTCTGCAAATCTGCATTTTAAAAATACCTGTAAACAAGTATTGAACTCTAGCTAATGACATGCATACCAAAGTGTTAATAATATGCATATTGGAGTGAGGTGTGACTCTTCTTTCCTTGTCTGGTATGGAATTAAAAAAACAAAAAAACTGGTGTAGATGTTAGAGATGGAAGAAGGGAGAAAAATACCATGAAGATTGCTCCTGAGTGGAATTGTCTGTTAATGACTCCATTCATTTTAGAAAGATTTTCTTTAATTTTTTGACAATAGCTTCCATGTTGCTGAATCCATTTTTTTGTTTTGTTTTGTAATCCTGTGTTTTGCAGGAAGATCTTACTTTGTTTTCTAAATCATTGGGCTTCTTTCATTGTTATATATATGTAATCTGGCTGTAATTTTGTTTTGTTAATTGCCTTAGTGTTATTCTTTGCTCTTTTCTCACTTTTTTTTTTAGCTTTTATAATATTTACAAGTATAAGCAGAGTCTCTCCATATTATATCTTTTAGTAGTCGTTTTATTTCTCCCTAAACTTACTTAGGATTATTTTAAAGGATGGTAGTGCTTATAGCATTCTAACTTCTTGTTACATAATGTTTCCTTAATAATACAGTACTTTTACTTTTTTTATTTTTTTTTAATATTTTTATTTTTTTATTTATTTCTAGGAGAGAGAGAGAGACAGCGTGAGCAGGGGAGGGTCAGAGAGAGAGGGAGACACAGAATCTGAAGCAGGCTCCAAGCTCTGAGCTAGGTGTCAGCACAGAGCCCGATGCAGGGCTCCAACCCACAAACCACAAGATCATGACCTGAGCCGAAGTCAGAAGCTCAACCAACTGAGCCACCCAGGTGCCCCAATAATATAATAGTTTTAAAATTTGTTCTGGATTGGTTTTAGATTAGCTTTTTTATAATGTTTTATTTTTATATTTTGAGAGAGAGAGAGACAGAGACAGAGCACAGGCAGGGGAGGGGGCAGAGAGAGAGGGAGACACAGAATCTGAAGCAGGCTCCAGGCTCTGAGCTGTCAATACAGTGCCCAACATGGGTCTCCAACACATGAACCATAAGATCATGACCTGAGCCAAAGTCAGCTATTTAACCAACTGATCCACCCAGGTGGCCCTAGATTAGCTTTTTTTATTAACAACTTTTTTGGGTATTCACAAAAATAAAAATGTATTCTTTAGAAAATTTTAGCCCTGATTTTAGAAAACTTTAATCTCTCTAGGGTTTTATTTACTTTCACACATACTTTTGTTATGGTAGTGAGTTAGCTCAAGAGGGTACTCTCAACATCTGTCAAGGTGTTTTTTATCTTTTAAGTTCTCCCTCTTCTCATATGCTTCTAAAATGTGTTGTTCTTATAAAGAAGTCAGTTATAGTAATGGTTCTCAATCCTACCAAACCCAGTACACCCTTCTAATAAGGTTTTTTTTTTTAGTTTATTTATTTATTTTTGAGAGAGAGAGAGTGCACGCATATGCAAGTGGGAGAGGGGCAGAGAGAGAGGGGAGAGAATCCCAAGCAGGCCCCTTGCTGTCAGCACGTAACCTGATGCGGGGCTCAAACCCATGAACTATGAGATCATGACCTGAGCCAAAATCAACTGACTAAGCCACTCAGGCACCCCTCTAATAAGTATTTTTAATAAATGTTTTCTATGTTGCAATTAATAGGTTATTTAATCTACCTACACACATAACTTCAAAAATTCAACATAAGTGCCCTTAATATAAAGAGGAAATAAGAGGAAAGTAATTAACAACTATTTCAATATGTAAACTTAGGGGCATGATATATTAGTTAGATGCTTGTTATCTATACATGGAAACTGAATGGGACAGCTACCATGCAATGGGTCTCTTTGACAATTCTGTCATTTCTCAGAATAATGTTTTTAATGCATAAGATAAATAGGATTGCAAAGGAAACCAATTGTATTGAAATACAGACCCCAGGTTAAGAATCTCTGCAACTCCATTGAATGTGAGTACTAAATTAGGAGTGAGTACTAAATTATGAGAATTTTCTATTTGGAGAAACAATGGAAGGCTTGGTATTAAAATGTTATGGATTCAAAAGTGCATTTCAGTGCCTACATCATTTTGTTGTCAACATAATGACATCAGTAGGAGATTAACTAACATCATCTCTCTAATAGAATGAAGCAAATAACATAGGAGCTATATTTCTATCCTAATTGTGTATCTCATGAGAAATTAAGTCTATGAAATGGAATAATGCTTCTATTTCCCATTCTTTTCTCATTAGGACTAAACTACCTCTCTGATTAATATCAATTTTGCCAACTTATTTCTTCATATTACTTAAGGGAGTAAGGTAACCTTGGCAGGACAAAAATCTTCCTCCAGCTGCCATTGGGCAAGTTGGCAAATAACTTATTTGTATTAATAGGGTAATTTAAACCCAAGTGGTTCTAAGAATAAGAACCATAAAGCAGGATAATCAAGAGTTTATTTCAACAGGTGCTCACTCAGTGTTTTCTAAGAGTGCATTGCAAGAGGTGATATGTTGTATGTGTATGCACAGCTTCTCATGACAAATGTGCAGTGTCATGATGATGAGTTTTATTTCTTTTAGGGTATGTCTCTGTGCCAGACTGTTGTCGTAGGCTCTGTAGTCATTCTCCTCTACTCTTCAAGAGCATGTTATAATTTGGTGGTGATCACCATATCTCAGGATACATTAGAAAGTCCATTTAATTATGGCTGGGATAATCTTTCAGATAAGGTAAGTAGCTACCATGTTTTGCTAATCTAATAATGTAATAATGAAGTTAGCCTTAACTGAGAGGACATTTCAAGTGTTTGACTTACAAACACTTTTATGGAATCTCTAGCTACTAACAGTAATCGTACTAAAGCTTTATGTTTAAAAATCCTCATTTACATGTGTCACTTAAAATCCTTCATCAGAGTATTTTCTTTTCTTTTTGCAAACAATACTAATAGTGACAGGAACCTGTTGGTCCTGAACCTATTTTACTAATATTTTTCAAGGACAGTGTTTAAATACCTCTAGATAAATGGATTGCCTGTCATTAGCTAGTGAATATGGGTATGTTTTTAACTTGTTAAGATAAAAGTTATTCTCTCAAACCCAAGATGACATATAACCTAAATATTTGGTTCCATTTTTTAAATAATGACTTTTATGAAAATCTGGTATTATCAGTCCTGTCAATGGGAGAGAATTCATAGTTCCTTGGGTGTGCAGGTGTTTGCTCTGGTAATCCCCAGTACTCCATATTTAACCTCCCAGCATTCTCCATCCTTTTCCTAAAAGTGCAGTTTGACATAGCTAACCTGTCATATATTTATATTAATTTAACTTTGTACTGAATTGAAGGCATTCTGGAATACCATTTTATAAGAATTTCAGTTACCATTCTAAAGAAAAGGAATTTTCATATGCGATTCCAGAAGGCAGAGTCTCTTCACTCCTTTTGCCATTTTCCTTTCCCAACCTCTAGTAGGATAAAAGCAAATTCAATATGAAGCTTAGGCCCAGAGGCATGTTTTTAAATAGCAGCGGAGCTGAGCAACTTGATATGTGACATTTCTCTACAGGTGTAACTCAGTAAGTGTATTATGTTGCCCCGTGGAGTAGTTAGAACCAGTAGTCACTCGTATAACTCTCTCAGACTTAGGGGCCGAAAAATGAGATCACTCCATCTTATCCATATATTAAAAATATTTTCATAAATTAATGCACGGAAAAATAGCTTTTTATTCTACTTAACATCAAAGCACATTTCTTTAAAGGATATGAAACCACAAAATATGGGAAATTGGAGATTTATGTACCTGTGTTTGATGTGTTTTCACTTACCCTACCTGAAACGAGTTCATTGTGGAGGGTGACTGCTTACACACCAAGCGGACTTAAACACTGCTCGTTACTCTCTGTTTACAGGCTCATCTAGAAGACGTAAGTGGAGAAGAGTATGTAGTATTCGGAATGGTCCTCTTTCTGTGGGAACATGTCCCAGCATGGTCGGTGGTACTCTTTTTCCGGGCACAGAGACTGAACCAGAATTTGGTATGATGTCATAATATTCCCCATTCCTGTTCCCCTTATCTTTAAAAACAATGGGACATTTATATTGATTTTCTATTTTTTGTCAAAGTTTAAGCCAAAACAGCATTCTAGAGCTCAGCCTCCTTTCTTAGTTGAAAAGTAAATCTTCCTATGCTATCTAATACTTTGTTCACAGGCACCTGCTGGCATGATAAATAGTCACAATTATAGCTCCAGAGCTTACTTTTTTGACAATCCAAGACGGTATGATAGTGATGATGACTTGCCAAGACTGGGAAGTTCAAGAGAAGGAAGGTAGGTATATTGAATTAGTACTGAATAGATTGAAAGAGAATATACCTAAGGTTTTTTTTTTTTTTAATTTTTTTTTTGAGAGAGAGAGAGAGAGAGAGAGAGAGACAAAGCATGAGCAAGGGAAGGGCAGAGAGAGATTGAGAGACAGAATCTGAAGCAGGCTCCAGGCTGAGAGCCCAACATGGGGCTCAAACTCAGGAACTGTGAGATCATGACCTGAGCCGAAGTCAGAGGCTTAACTGACTGAGCCACTCAGGCAAGGCACCCCACGAACAAACATGAGCTTTGACCCAAATATGTAAAAAGTGTTTTGGTGACATACATCAATAAATAAGATCACTTAAACTGGACCTTAGAGCAGTGGATGTTAAATTTATAGTGTGCCCTGTACTATAAAAACTCTCATCTGACTCTAATTTTACCTTTATTTGAGAAGTGCCTTTGGGGGTAAAATGGTACCATCTTATTTCAGGATCCCACGTTGGCTCAAAGCTGGCAGAAGTTGGTGGGCAGGGAGGGAATACAATTAGAATGATTTATGTGCTTCCTTATCTATAGTGTTATTCAGACCCCACAGGAGAACCCTAGATGGACCTCTTGGGAATCTTAGATGCCATGGGAAGTCTTCTCTTGTCCTTCTTACTCTGAAACCACTGCAACTCCATCCCATTTGCTGCATATCAGGGCAAAGTGAAAAGCTAAAAGCATACCTCCATAATACATTGCGCTGGATATAACATTTTCTGTAATTCTCATTTCATCTGGACAAGTTACTTAGCCTGTTTTTTAGCCTGTTTTTCACCTATCAAATAGGGATAATAGAATTTATCTAATAGAAGTGCTGTAAAAATTAAATAAGGTATGTGTGTATACATTATTTTATGTATATACATAAAAACACGTCTGACAAGAGCCTACTGCATAATAAACACTATATTATCATCTGATAATCAAGTTCTAATTCTGACATATTTATTCATTTGCGATATGAAGTCAAGGATATTAGATAAAAGTCATTACATTTTGTAGAAAGCCATTATGTTACTTGGCAAAGAATATATTTCAATATATTTGATATTGTATTATAAAATGCATTTAACGCTGAAAATGCCAATGTGACTTACATCCTGATCACAGTCCTATCACTTTCTTGCCTCTTCTTGTTGCAGTTTATCAAATTCGCAAGGTTTGGGCTGGTACGGCACCATGACTGGGTGTGGCAGCAACAGCTACACAGTGTCCCCCCACCTGAACGGACCTATGACAGACACTGCTCCTTTGCTCTTTACTTGTAGCAATTTAGATATGAGCAATCGCCATAGCTTGTACGTAACACCACAAAACTGACAGTATTACCAAGCCGTGATTCTTCCATTGTTTTCATGAACGTGTATATTCGATGTGTTTAAATGCCATCTACATAAACATTCCATTATCTGTTGCAACGGAAAACAAAGCCTGGAAATGTGGTTTAGCAGAGAACACACCTGTTACTTTTGACATCTCCATAGCAAAATGAAGTAAACTGGGAAGTTTGGAGTGGGAGAAAAGAAGGATTAGATCTTAAGGCGCTTGATGGCTGCAAATCTCCTGATTTTGGAACATCAAATGCATATTTGCATATTTGCACTTTTATCTTTGTTCTGAAAGAGTACACTGCAGTCCCCAAAGCCACACTCTGGTGTTCACACTGGGATATTATATTGTACAAATTAGGAGGAAATTTCCCTATGAAAATCAAAGGCTGTATGTTCAGAGGTGTATTCTATGTGGAATTCCTACCCAATAGAAATTTTACAGTGTGAACAGTGCGCAGGATTAAGGCATAACAACGTACCATTCTTTTTAAAAATCTACTTAAAAATATGTAATCACTGAAGATAGTTCTTTTAAGCATGATTGTAAAATGCCAACCGAAATTATACAATCATTTTTTTAAATGACAGTAGTAATCCTTTACAATGATGACCAGCAGTGTTCTTTGGAAAGCCAGTCATTTCTTCAAGAAGAAAGCATACCAGTGAAAATGATGTGGCTACTTTGAGTAGAATTGGTCAAGTGATCATTTTGTGTGATTAAGATATGCTCGAGTAGTTTAAGCATGGCTCTTCAAGAAAGCAATACTGATTCTTGCATAGGGAGATTTTGATAGAAACTTCTAGGGACTAAACACATTTACAGATGCATTTAAGAATTATTAATAAAATGTACAAATCTAAGTTAAAACACGAATACATTTCCAAAAGCATTCGATCTAGCTGAACAAGACACAGCTGATCATACCTATTGAATCAGGATTGTCCTCAGGTAAATTAAGTCATGATATATTATTGCAGCAAACTCAAGTGCAATATTTTGTAAGACATATAATTCCTACTTTAGTTTTCCCATTTTTATATCTTGTATATGGGCAAAGCCAAATTAAATTTAATTCAAATTAATTCCAGCACTAGACTAAATAAGAAAACTGATGTAAAGGTACTAACTAGGTAAGTACAAAGCCAGTGTTTAACAATATTGGAATACTTCTAGAATTATATTAAAACTGTCTTGAATGTCTTATCCCAAATCTAAAATATATATATATATATATATATATGTATATATGGTAGGCTAAGATAATAAAGGATTTTAAAATGCACTTTCTACCAGTATCTATATGGAAAGAAGTAGATGCTGAATACCTCAAGATGCCAAGGGAACAGGCAACGTTGGGAAGTTGTCACAACTGTGTGTAAAGACAACTAGTTACACATACAATTGTCTGCTGATCTATTTCTTCGGAACTGCAACTAACAGAACTGTCCTTTTCTGTCTTTTACTTTGACTAGAAAGTTATGTTTTAATTCTATCACTTAAAATACTTTTCAAGGTTTTAATAATTGCTTATTCAGCAATTTCATAAAAGTATAACAGGAATAATTGAAATTTTTAATGCTTTTGATCTTTTGGGAGGCTGCTTTACAGCCAAAGAAATTTCTTTTTATCATACAAAATGACTTTGAACTCAATCAGAAGCGTAAACCTATAGTTACAGATGTTACTTTGGGTCTGTTTATAAATTCTCTCGTTGTAACCAAATTACTTAAAAATTTATAGTACAGAAGTTAACCTTGCTATTTACACTACAACATAACATACCGGTGACAACTCCAGTTCTTAGATTTCCTTTCAGAATGCCAACTATTTATTTTCCTAATAATGTTGGGTATCTAATTACCTAGAACTATCTGAAAAGATGTGTTTTCTCTTTTAATCCTTGGGGTTCAAAGTAAATAAGGTAAATTTTTACTGAGGCCTCCCTAGATAGTGTTCCTATTTGACCAGGTAAGCAAAAATTACTTAAAAAAAAAATCTAGATAAAATATCTTGGTTCTTTCAGCAGCATTAGTTGATTCTTCCAAATTTCAGATTTGTAGATTTATTCTTACCACTGACTTAGGGTACCTGAATTCTTGCATTTGTCCCCTTGTACACATCTCCCACAAATCACCACCAAAGACAAAGAAAGAGAAGCTTCTGGCCCGATTTTTGCTTAAAAATTCCAAAGCACTAGGAGCACTTTAATTTTGGTCTCGAAAGAAGGAGCTGTTTATAAAATCAAAGGGCTACCGATTCCCTGCTCATCCTGCGCTGAAGCACATGACGACAATTTCAAACCTTCCTTTTCAGTTCATTAATTAAAACAGTGAATTTCATTGCTTAAGTGTGTAATTCTATAGTGATTAGCAGTACTTGTTTTTATCGTTTCATTTGGGTGGTCATTAATTTTGAAACTCTTACCACTCAGTAAAGCTGGTTGTAGTTTTATGAAAGATGTAATTTATAGCTAAAGTGGCTTTTTTATGCATAGCTGCCTTTTTTATTGTTTCACAGTGTTTCTCAGCTATACAATCAGTTTCAAACTGGTTGTAAAAGTATAGCTGTGGCCAATGAATGTATTTATTTGTTTCACTAAATTGTAACAAAACACTACTGTTAAAAATAAAAGTGTTTGTGCTTTTATTTAGAGGTCTGGTTTTCTTAAATGTCTCAATTGATAACACGGACTTCCATCATACAAGCATAAGAACCCTGGTGCTACCAAAGAAAAGAGAAAAATATCTGGAATTATAGAGGATAGCTTGTTGTTAGTGACCTTATATTTATATCTGGACACGATGTCCTTAGTATTATATACTACTTTGACATGAACTGGCATATACTTTATTTAAAAATACCAAAATGATTGTGATAGTACATTTATTCGAACATTTAGCTACGGAAAATCTTTGTAAGAGGCGCTTAGGTGGCTCAGTCGTTAAGCATCTGACTTCTTTGGCTCAGGTCATATTACACGGTTTGTGAGTTTGAGCACCACGTCAGGCTCTGTGCTGACAGCTCAGAGCCTGGAGCCTGCTTCAGATTCTGTGTCTCCCTCTCTTTCTGCCCCTCCCCTACTCACACTGTCTCTCTCTCTCTCTCTCAAAAATAAACATTAACAAAAACAAGAGTACAGTGCTTATAACAATTTTTTTGTATGAAATAACTTGACACCTCTCTTTCTCTTTGAATTTTAAACAGGATTAAATTTATCTAGCTCATAATCTTTTGCAGCTATTCATTGACTATTTGAGAAATTCTTTAGTGATGTTGCCTTTTCCCTTGAACGAAGTTCTTACTATTTTTTTCCATAATAGACTCCCTTTATCACTTGCCAAAGCCACACCAAATTTTGGATGAAATTTCAGGAGATTTACTGACCACCCCCCTGAAGTCAACAAACCCTTGGGAATCTATTAACTCTTGTTATAAAGACTACTTAGAGGGAAGGTATGACCTCTAATACAATAAAGTTGTCATTTTAAAACCAATTTATTCAACAAGCATTTATTAAGGGTTCATATACCAAAAACTATGCTATGGAGATGCAAACATGGATAAAGTTCCTTTTCCTGCCCTTAAGGAGCTCACATTCTAGGGAAGGAAGCTCAAAAAAAATACAGTACAATAAGTGACACAGTAGAGGTAGGTTGTAAATACAGTGGTGACATTTGAGAGGAAATTAGATGATCCTCTTTGGGTGGAATAAGGAAGATTTCACATAGACAGGCTCTCTGCTGGCCTGCATGGAGACATGGGAATTTTCCAGGTGGGGAAGGATGGTAAGAGCACTTGATGCAAAAAGAACAGCATGCATCAAGGTATGGAGGCCTGATCCTGTCACATTTGAAGAACTAAGTGTTTATCATAGCATGGGAGCTGTGGGTGGCACTGGAGACACATAGAGGACCTTGTTAGAGTACTTCTAGAAAGCCTGCTGTGGCAGCATTGTGGGGCTCACATGGGGAGATAGGCTGGGGAGACAGGTTAGTGTGGTGCTCTAGGTAAGAGCAAAGAAAAAGGAAAGACTGATACATCAGGGAATTGGAGATGAACTCCACAGCGCTTAGACAGACTGGATAGGGAAAGATGGAGAGGAATGAGCCTAGAGAATCAAGATGATGATGGTTTTGAAATTAGCCAGAGTAAGGAACACGGGCATAAGAATACACAAACATCTGTGGGACAACAGTAAAGACATGTAGTAAACAGATGGATTGACAAGTGTGGATTAATAATAAGGATTTAGAAATCATTGAATCAGAATTACCCAAGAGTGAAAAGTGGTGGTGATTAAGAGCAAGAATGAAAGTCAGAGAAATAACATTTAAGGCATTAATGAAAAAAGCTACAAAGGAAGCATCCAGGAGTGAAATATACGGAACGCTGGGGGAAAACGATTTTTTAAAGATGGGGCTACCAACAGTGTCAAAGGCAAGAAAAAAAGTCAAATAAGAAATGGCTTGTGAACTGAACTGAAATTTGAATTTCTGCCTTCAAAAGAAGAAATTGTTAGGAACTACAGAGCCAAAAGCAAGATTTTGGTTACAGAGCAAGTGGGAGTTGACAAAGTGATGATGAGATATTCTTTCAAAACAATGGACTTTAAAAGAGGGCAGGGGCATGACATGAAAGTTTGAGAAGCATACAGACAAAATTACCATTTAAACCCATCTCCCACATGTTCAGATATTACAAATGTCCTTTAAACTTTTACATACGGTGCTTACTCCATAGTCCTTTGAGTTTCCAAGAATATTGACTTATCTAGTAAATGTCTTTGTTTTCCTGCCTTATTCAAATGAGAGGTGGGGAGAAAATATGACATATATTGTTAAACTTAGCTCTATGATTATTCATTTAAAATATACTGAATACATATTCATATATTCATTCAACAAATATATATTGGATACCCACTATGTGCTTAGTATGTGATTGGCACTACACCAGGCTTTAGAAAGGGCACAGAAAAGAAAGTATACAGCAGTATAAAATGATATTTCTAAACCATTATATAAATAAATCCTGCTTTATTAATAATGTGACATCTCAACATGATACACCTGCTAAAATGCATAAAGAGGGCACATCATTTTGAGGTATAGTTTTTTTCATTCACAATTACCATGTGATCAAAGTTCTTAAGCTTCTTCAAATATTTTTATCACTGAAGAACTGCCACTAATGAAAACCTCCTGAAATTGGTTTAGTTTTAGGAAGAAAAAGGAAATGAAGCTCACATACAAAAAAAGAAAAAATTATATGCCCTATGACTATACAGATCAAGCATTAGAAGGGCAACAAACTCAGAAAGATCTTTATTTACACTGGAACTCAAAATGATTCCTTATTCTAAGGCTTACTGTATTGTAGTTCCACTATTTTTTCCTGAAAAAAATCATTTAAGAAAATTATTCAGTATTACACACTGAAGTATTTATAAGGTTTAAAGAACATGATGCCTGGAACGAACTTTAGGAAAAAACAGTGTATGTCTGTATATATACAGAGAGAGTATGAACGATGAAGCACATGTGAACAATTAGTGAATCTGGGTAAAAGAGTTCTTTGTAGTATACTGGAAACTTTTCTGTAAATTTGAAATCATATAAAAATAAAAAGTTTCCCCCAAATTTTATTCAACACTAGGTAAAGTATGAGGAGAATAAATATATAAATCTATTCAACTTTTCAAAATATTTAGAAATCCCTTCTGTCTTTGAGTTGGCATTGTATCTTTCTAGACACCAAAAACAAGCCAATCAAAACAGCAATATAATTCTAAAACGGATTTATTTCATACCAATGTACTTTTTGGGTTGCCGGATAAAACACAGGACTCCCAGTTAAATGTGAATTTTAAATAGGAAATAAAATTTAGTATAAGTATGTCCCAAATATTGCCCACAGCAAACATACATTAAAAAATGAATCATTTTTTATCTGGAAGGCAAGTTTAACTGGGCATTCTGTATTTTTTTTACTAAATCTAGTAAACCTCAATGTATTGAAAAATTTTAGGCTGTTAATTATTGATTCTTTATGAGCCTCCTTAGCATTTTCCTGTAAAACACTCAACATACCGACCATAGCTATATTTATATTACATCTTCTTAACACAAAGTTCTTGAGACTTACAACAACATTTACTTAGGTTTAACATATATAAATTTGATAATCCTGAATTTGTTCCATGTTAAACTTTAAAATTTATACCACATCAAAGTATTACTTTTACTCACA